GAGTGTGTGTGTGAGAGTGTGTGTGTGTGAGTGAGAGTGTGTGAGTGTGTGAGTGTGTGAGTGAGTGAGTGAGTGAGTTTGTGTGTGTGCGTGCATCTGTCTGTGTCTGTGTCTGTGTGTGAAGTGAGTGTGAGCGTGAGCGTGAGCGTGTGAGTGTGAGCGTGTGAGCGAGCGAGTGAGTGAGTGAGTGTGTGTGAGTGAGTGAGCGTGTGCGTGAGTGAGTGAGTGTGTGTGTGTGTGTATGCATGCGTGCATCTGTCTGTGTCTGTCTGTGTCTGTGTGTGAAGTGAGTGAGTGTGAGTGTGAGTGAGCGTGAGCGTGTGCGTGAGCGTGAGCATGTGCGTGAGTGTGAGCGTGTGTGAGTGAGTGAGTTTGTGTGAGTGAGTGTGTGCGTGTGCGTGTGCGTGAGTGAGTGAGTGAGTGAGTGAGTGAATGAGTGTGTGTGTGTGTTGTCTGATCCAGTTGTTTTACTAGATCTATATAAGTGTCTAAATCCAATGACTGATATTCAAAACTAATGAAGACTGAATGTTGTTTGATATTGAGTCCTGTCAGCTCATCTATTAGCCGAAGACACAGCAGAAATTGAGTTTATTGAATCATATTAGTTGTGTCAGTTTTGAAGCTCAGCACTTTATCTAGACTGGCATAATAGTCTAGATTGAAACTCATAGCCATGCCTTTTTAAAAAAAATTTTTTTCAGTTTTGTGCATTCATTAGAAAGGTTTATTCAGCGACTTGTGATGCCAAACTCTTTCAATCTGTATGTCACTTTGGATAAAGGCTTCTACCTGATGAATGAATGTCAATGTCAATATTTTCTATCAAAGCAGCTTGTGGTGTTTCTGTTTTCTGGCCTCATAATGTAGATCTTCTAATCATAAACACGGTTGCAGTCCTGCAGAGGCTGATAGTCCAGTGTATTTCTGTGTAGAAGCATCACAGGTTCAGGATGAGCTGATCATCTGGTTAGTGAAGGTCCAGAGGTGCGGTGTGTGATCCTGTCACTGAAGACGGTTCTGCTCTGCTTGTGTTCGCAGGAGACGTACACGGAGAATGCGGGGCTGCAGCGCTACGGTGCGTTCTACATGGATTAAATGTACACGATGGAGAACAGCAGCAGAGGTAGGTCTGTCAGCCTGAGGAGGTGTTCAGAGCGACACACTGATAACTGCTGTCCTCTCGCTCACCTCCACCTGTCACGCTGCTCTTCCTGCGCTAGTCTCGCTTAATTAGGTGTCAGTTTTCGATTCAGAACCAAGACTCGGTTTATTTAGAATATTTAGCACCAGTTACAATCCTTTAAAAATACCAAAATGAAGGATTTTCACAATGTTTGGTTGCATTCTCATGCACTGATGCAGTATTGTGAGAGTGTAACTGCAGCACCGCTAGACAGAATCTGGATGTTTTTGAATAAATAACGGTGACTGTTGTCTTTTCCACTTTGTGTGAGAAGAATGAAAAGGAAAAAGGCAAAAACACTTTTGGGTGGCTCTAGAATGTGTCTCCCTCTCTCTCTCTCTCTGTGCCGTTCTGCCGTTCCGTGTCAGCCTCAGATAGCGATCTAAGCGTAAAGCAAACACAGATATCGTCAGCTTTGGTCGTCAGGCTGATCTCTGAGATGCAGATGAGTGTCGCTCCTCTGGCGAAGCTGAATGACGCTTCCCGTCAGGAATGTCGTGTGAGTCAGAGCGCGTCTGCCCTCGGAGACTCGAACCTGCGACCCTCGTCCACATCAGAGCGCCAGCGCTACATAAACGAAACTCAAACCTGCGGCGCGCTCTCTCTCATAACAACTGCAGCGCGGAGGCGCGGATCTCCTCTAATGCTTTAAATCCGGCTAATTTCCCTCCCCGTGTCCTTTAGCAGCGCTGCGAGCTTCCAGATGTTTGATATTAGACTTAATCCAGCCCTGCCTTAATGGGAAGAGGAAGTGACATCGCTCGCTGCACTTTTAATCTCCACAAATCAGGAGGGAATTTGAGCAGCTCATGAACTCTTTCTCCCTCTCCTCCGTCCCTCCATCCGCAGTAACGGGACTCCCACGTTCCCCTCAGCGCTCTGCTTTTATTACACACGCAGCTGTGTGTGTGTGAGTGTGTGTGTGTGTGTGTGTGAGAGTGTGAGAGTGTGTGAGTGTGTGAGTGAGTGAGTGTGTGAGTGTGTGTGTGTGAGAGTGTGAGAGTGTGTGAGTGTGTGAGTGAGTGAGTGTGTGAGTGTGTGTGTGTGAGAGTGTGAGAGTGTGTGAGTG